TTCTCCATTTAGAATGATGTTGGCTGTGAGTTTGTTATATATGGCTTTAATTATGTTGGGATATGTTACCTCCAGTCCAATTCTCTCTAGGACTTTAAACATAAAAGCATGTTGAATTTTGTCAAAGGCCTTCTCTGCATCCATGAGATGACCATGTGGTTCTTGTCATTGGGCCCATTTATGTGATTTATGACCTTTATTGACTTATGTATATTGAACCATCCCTGCATCTCTGGAAAAAAGCCAACTTGATTATGGTGGATGATTTTTTTTATGTGTGTCTGTATGAGGTTTACAAGTATCTTGTTGAGAATTTTTACATCTATGTTCGTTAAGGATATGGGTCTATAGTTTTCTTTTTTGGTTGTATCTTTACCTAGATTTGGTATTAGAGTGATGCTGGCTTCATAGAAGGAATTTGGAAGTTCTCCCTCTGTTTCTATCTTTTTGAATAAATTAAGTAGTATTGGATATAGATCTTCTTTAAATGTCTGATAGAATTCTGCTGTAAATGCATCTGGTCCTGGGCTTTTATTAGTCGGGAGGTTTTGCATTACTGTTTCAACTTCTTTTTGTGTTATGGGTCTGTTTAAGCTGTTAATCTCTTCTTGGTTTAGTTTTGGTGATTCCCATGCCTTTAGATATCCATCCATTTCTTTTAGGTTTTCAAATTTAGTAGCATACAGGTTTTGAAAGTATTCCCTTATAATGTTCTTATCTTTCTGGAATCTGTTGTGGTGTTTCCCCTTTCATCTCTGATTTTGTTGATTTGGAGGTGCTCTTTCTTTCTTTTGGTTAACTGGGCTAGTGGTCTGTCAGTCTTGTTTATCTTTTCAAAGAACCAGCTCTTGGATTCATTAATTCTTTGTATTGTTTTCCTTGTTTTGATTTCATTAATTTCTGATTTTTGTTATTTCTTCCTGTCTACCAGGTTTGGGTTTCTTTTGTTGTTGCTTTTCAAGTGTCTTGAGTTGCAATGCTAAGTCATTTATTTATGTTCTTTCCGATTTCTGATGTAAGCACTTAGAGCTATAAACTTCCCTCTAAGGACAGCTTTCAGTGAGTCCCAGAGGTTTTGTTGTGTTGTATTGCCCTTTTCATGTAGTTCCAGGAATACTTTTATTTCTTTCTTTATTCCTCTTTTGACCCATTCATCATTCAGGAGTGTGTTGTTCAATCTCCATGTGTTCATGTGGTGACTAGGGCTTCTTCCAGTGTTGATTGTAAGCTTTATTGCATTGTGGTCTGATAGAATGCATGGGATTATTTCAATCGTTTTGTATTTGTTGAGGTTTATTTTGTGTCTCAGTATATGGTCAATTTTGGAGAAGGTTCCATGGGGTGCTGAGTAGAAAGTATGTCCTTTGGCACTTGGGTGGAATACTCAGTAGATGTCTGTTAGGTCCATCTGATATATGGTATTGTTTAATTCAGATGTGTCTCTGTTAACTCTCTGCCCTGTTGAACTATCTGATGGAGACAATGGGGTATTGAAGTCCCCTACTATCAATGTGTTGGGATTAATCTGGGTCTTAAAGTCCTGTAGTATTGTTTTTTATGAAGCTGGGTGCGCCAGAGTTTGGTGAATATATGTTCATGATTGTAATATCTTCTTGGTTTATTGTTCCTTTGATCAGAATGAAGTGGCCCTCTTTATCTCTTCTGATTAGTTTTAAAGTCTATTTTGTCAGATATTAGAATTGCAACACCTGCTTTTTTTTAATACCATTTTCTTGGTACATTTTTTTCCATCCTTTCACCTTAAGATAGTTCCTGTCCTTGAAAGTGAGATGAGTTTCTTGCAGACAGCAAAAAGATGGGTTTTGTTTCTTAATCCATT